TATTTTTTCCTTATGTTTAACCTGAAGCTGGTGGAAAAATATTCCAAGAAATGGCAATATTCCCACACTGATTTTGACATCAGTACAGCAAACTGGTGCAAGTACATGCTCAGAGCTATTGCAGGGACACATGTATGGAGTGAGGACTCCTCGTAAGGATGTTAGGCACAGTGTGAAGCCATACATTTCCTGCAGTTCCTCTGATCTTTTGGTCTTTGCTCACCAAAATGGGATGCCCAGTACAAGTGACCTCTACTAGCAGAAGGTAGCTCAGATCATTGCACAGAGGAGGAGACAGGACTTCCCCAGCAGTCATTATTGTGGAACAATTTACCTACCTCTATGTGGAACAAAACAGGGAACATCTCTGGCAATTTTCACTCTGCATCTCATTAAACACTGCTGAAAACTGGCATGTGTACTGCAGCTGGCAACAAAGCTCATTAAATCCTTCCCGGAATAAACCTATAAAGACAGCAAAGAAAGGAAGATTGTAGGCATTTAGTTCATTATTGTGCCATTCCTTCGACATTTAAGAAAAAATTCACCTATAGAAGACATGTTTCTTTTAGCACTTATTTTTTCAGTATCTTACATTCAATGTCTTCCCATATTTCATATGAACTCTGAATCACAGCATGGAGCATTTGATCCCATTAAAATGCCTGTTGATATGAATTGTGCCTGTGTAATTAACAAATCTCCAACAGAAACAGAGTTCATAACCTGACCCTTTACTTTTACAAAAGTTGAGTTGAAAGAACAGTTATTACATAGCTCTGACAGCTGTAACTAACAGAGAATGGTAAATGTAATTGGCTACATTTAGGTTTTAGAAGCACAGGTATACATCCAGACTAATTCAGCTGCAAACAGTGGAGTTATTTCAAAGTTAAAAGAGATGGAAAAATATTGTAAAACTCTCCCTGTAAGTATGCATGCATTTAAACTACTTCATGGAGTCATGTTTGAACCCACATTTGAAGTGTTTTCAATTATAATAGTTTCACTCTGAACATCACAGTATGGTCCAAAGACCTCAAATAATAGTATCACTTCTTCAGACTTGAGGTTAGTTTGCAGACAAAATTCTGCCCTTGCAGGACTCAAGGAAATGGCATGAAACTGAGTCAGGGGAGGTTTAGTTTGGATATCAGGAAAAGGTTTTTCACCCAGAGGGTGGTTGGGCGCTGGAACAGGCTCCCCAGGGCAGTGGTCACAGCACCAAGCGTGACAGAATTCAAGAAGCACTTGGACAACGCTCTAAGGCATACTGTGTGACTCTTGGGGATAGTCCTGCACAAGGTAATAATAAAACTAATAAAAGTAAAGGTTAAATTCCAAATTTTAAAAAAACAAACTATGAAACAAACTGCTAGTATTATACCTAATAAGTAGAGAAAGTGATAAACTGAAGAATCCAACATGGAGAGAATATGTTTTTGTCTTGGCAGTCTTTCTTCCTTCAATTATATTTCCTCTCATTCTTCTGACAGAAATGTAAAATGATGCTTTTGATGCAAAAACATGTTTTAAATTATGGGAAACACTTCTGGCATTAATAGCTGAATATTGTTCTAGTTGCCACAGACGTGGCTAGTTTCCATTCAGGCAAACATTAAAGGACAGAAAGTCACTCCTGTCACATGGCATGGCCCAGCACGCTGAGAACAAAGTATACGTGGCACATGTAACTCACATGTAATTTTTCTGTAGTAATTTTTAAAGCTGCTAAAAATAAAGTGTCAGAAATGCTTTTTGTACTCTCCATGACAACCACTTCACAGAAACAGGCACACAGCTTTTGAAGAAAGGACTAGATTTTGGAGTGATACCATTTTTGTGTGCCTAGTAATGCCATATAGGACTTGGGGTACCTCTCTGTGCTACACATTGTGCAGCAGTATATTTTTGGTTTCATGTGCATTTAACATGTCAAAATCACACTCACATGTAACAAATTTTGCTTCCAAATTGAATTATTGAGTTCTTATAGGAATGAAAATAGTGTGTACTAATATAAAATTTAAGACTCCCATAATTTAATATGTCTCCCCAGTTTGTTTCAGATGGAAGAGGTATGTGTAAAACCTCACACAGACACAGAAAAAATCCACAAACCAAGAGCATCTAAAGGCCCTTGAATATGGAAATATAATGAACTAATGATTGTAGGAAAACTATTCCCATTCCTCAAGGGCTCACAGGAACATCTTGTTGCATCTGTTATTACAGAATACCTTAAAACAATATTTGTAAACAGAGAGAATTTTCTTCTCATAGAATTTTTTTTTCTGTTTTTTAAAAAACCAATGGAGCAGTAAAAATTGGCAGGCAATAAAACTATAACATTAAGACCAGAGAAAATCCAAGTCATTTCAGTGTTCAACACCTTTTTTCTACAAGCATGTTCTAATTTTTACAGATTAACACAGACTAGTGCCCATAGTACCTTTATGCTTTGTGTATCTCATCTCTGCCCATCTATAAGTTCAGCTTCTCATTAAAAACTCTGTTTTTAATGCAACTACATGAGTAAAAACAACATACAACTCTTACCTTAGGGACCCAAAGATACTGGTTGAAGGATACAGTTACACATCCATGTGTGCTAAATTAAATTAGGTGAAGGGCAAATCTGTGTACTGAATTTTCCCATTAATTAGGCTGTGGGAGCCATTCAATACAAAGATTGTATAAGCAGCTTGCTTAAATTCTCTCCTTCTCTACGTGGAATTCTCATGGTAATTTCTTGCCCAATGAAAATATTCTGTTCTGGAGCATCAAATATTTGCAGTGAGATTTAATGTATTTTATAGCTGCATTCTGCAAGATATTAAAGGAGCCAGGAACCAGAAAGAAAGTATCATAAGGAGAGAGAGGCTCCCTTCTTAAAAAAAAACAACATAATGTGTATTTCTGTAATTAATTCTCCTACAGTCTCATAAAATATTTTATCCCCTTCTACGGTAGTATTTTAGTGCTGATCTTGATAATACTCAGTGGAAATTGCCCATTCCGGAATTTTCTTTTTTTGTTTAAAAGATCATGTTTCCTTTAGCCTTCACAGTACCATGCATATTAACAACATAAAGTCAGATTCCTAATGGTAAGTATCCTTGTTCTGAAATGCAGATTGCTGTTCTGTTGTAACAGTTCTCAAAAAATTTTATTCTTAGCAATTTCATCAGCCCTCACAGAGCAAAGGGGCAAATATCTCTGGAAGAAACACAGCATCTTAATGTATTTAAATGTTAGAGTATGCTCCAAATATGCCCAAAGTCAATTTTTAAAAGATTTTTCAGACACGGGAGAAAGGCTGAAAGCCACAAGCTCTTTTCAAATTTTAAATAAGAGGCTATTTTTTGGTTTTTTTTCTAGGAGCTCTATAGGAAGGACTGCAATTTAGCCGCTCAGTTGCTCCAGTGCAGCAAGAATTACGACAGGGCACATAAACTCTCAGAGGTAATGTGACCAAACTTCTTCAATATTCAAAGAAATAAATATTTTATGGAAAACAGGTTATTTTGCATGTATCAATTCCAGAATTTGTTTGCCCTTAAGGTTTTTATCTCCCCACACCCTGCCTTTAAACCACAGGAGAGCTGGAGCACCTGCTATCGTTCTGTGCAGCCTAGGGAGGTGCTCACAAAATCAGTCAGTGATGGTACTTGAAGATACTCTCTTCCCCAAAACCCCTCCTATCCAGTAGAATGGGCCTGCACTGATTGCCTGAAGAACAAAGGTTTTAGCAAAACCAAAAAGCTGTGAACTCTAGAATGCAAAAGGCTGGGGAGAAGCAGTGGGGTGAGAGCAGGGAAATGACAAGCTACAGGCGTCAGAGATTCTGATATAATCAATTTTCCTCCTGGAGCTATTTTCCAGTCCAGCTAGTTTTTAAAACTGAATTTTAAAATGGACTGACAGAACAAATACCTTTTTCTAAAGAAACCAGAGCACCGAATGATTGATTTCCAAGGTGTAAACTTTAATTAATAATCCTTGCTTCCAAGGAAACTAGGCTTGAGGAACAGGCTCCTTAAAGGGGAGGTAAATATTATCTTAGTGAACCAGACTGTCTTAAGGGATGCAGGCCTTGAACAAAGCAATAGCACCTTCCTCACATATATTGCTTCAGTGAAGGTCATAGGGAATAGCCTTTACTTCATGAGTCCCGTCAGGTCAACTTTCCCCCAGATGGTCTCCCTTTTGCAATTCTGCAATGTAATAATACAAAATTAAACGTGGAATGTATAAACCACTTCTGAGTCAGTAGATGGCTTCAGTGCACTAAACAACCCTGCTAAACAAAGATGGAGAAAGACTCCTCTGTCAAATGGGCAATGATTTTCCGGAACGGAGACAGAAATTCCATGTTAAGAATTATCTTGGTTATTTTTTCCTATTATCTGACTTCCCTTAGCAAACCATATCCAGGAATTATCATGATATTGCTAACATCTGAAAGCACCCTATTTGTTAGCAGTAATTAGGACCTTAAAAGTACTAGGTGGTTCACTTGCAGAGAACTATCGCAAATGTGGGGTCTCCCCACAATTTCCCAGACTGTCAAACACTCAATTAAATAGGCAGTCTCCACTCATAAGTTCAAGTATTTGTTAATTTAGCAAGTGTGAATGCACTTTCACAGCCAATAAATTCCTTACAAATGCAAATATTGCCTGATAAAGTATTGTATGTTATCCAGAAACCTAAACCGGAGTACAATATAGTAATGTGACTGCAGTATCATTTTAGTAATTTCAGTTTCCAATGCAATACCCAGAAAATAATGTTCTTCCTCTTAACACATTTCATAATATTAATGCTGTATATAAAATAGATCAAACAGTCATGCTACAGGATACTGTAGCTGCCCCATACAGCACTTTCTCATTAAATTAACTGTATTTCTTTTCCTTGTTTCTGTGGCAATTTACAACAGGCCTATTTTACAACCTGTTTATTCAATCTCTGTTGCATCTGTACTTACTGTGACTAATACTGCTGTCTGCCAGCAGACTGGCAATATCATATTCTTTATTTCCAATGGAAGACATATGAGCTAATTAGCAACATAATGATTAATCCAAAATATCCTGGAAGGTTCTGTTGGTTGAAAAAACACTCACCCTATTTCACATAACAAGAATACCATTTCACTACATGCCATGTTTTGAACACACTGAGTTTGGGGTATTAAACCAGCTTTAAAAACTTCCCAGTGAAGCTAAAAGAGGAGCTCCATATTTATATACAATGTGAGACCGGGACCAGGAACAGGCATTGTAAATTTCCTTTGCCGAAAATAAAGTGAAAGGGGATAACTTCAGTTATTTGTAGGGTTCTCTCCTCTAGAGAAACAAAGGTAAGGAGGCAGTGAGGTCATAAGGCTAACCACTCTTTGTTTTGTAAAGAGGAACTTGATTTCTAGTTATAAAGTGCAGAGTATATCAGAGTTCAGCCAAGTATTCAAGGGATAAATTCCTAAGTATGTATATATATATCAAAGGAGATATCATAATCACAAACTCAAAACTTATTCCAAACATGAGTTCTTCTGATTTCCAGCAAGAAATCTGAGAGACAACCATCACGCAGCTCTCTGTCTCCTATTGTCAGATCATTGATAGAGATCTGAAATGAGCAAGGCAGGTGAAATTTGACTGGAAAGCATGTGTAGTGATACTTCAGTAGGCATTACCTACCAGATTTTTGGACTGCATCAAGGAATGTGGTCTCTATCTTTTCTGGTCCTCATGACAGAATGGCAGGTGGAACCACCCACAAAGCTGATCCTGACTTTCTCAAAAAAAAAAAAAAAAAGTAATGCCTGATGCATAACAGACACTGATTCTGATTAATTCTGTCACGGGAATCATAATGTAAATTCACATAAGAACATGTTCAGGCTTGTGTGGATGGTTGATCTGACAAGCAGTGTCCGACTGATGGGGCAAGGAAGCTGGTTTGGTTTGCTTCTTCCCAGCACAGGAACACTCCTGTCACAGCAGCCAGTACCACTTTAAGTGTCAGTGAAGCCAGCTTCTCCACCTCTTCAAACAGCATTGTTTATCAAATGTGAAGCTGCAGAGCAGAAGCCAATTTGGCACTGGGTTAGAGGCAAGATGAGCTTGAAGAAAGGCAAAAGAAGAACAGAAAAGATCTGATCTCTTCCTCCTCTTTTTTCACACCCCCTCCAGAGACCTCCACACACCCGAATCCAACTGCAAATCTCACTCAGGCAGGGCAGTCTGGAAGTATTGCTCTATGCTTTAACTCCCTATCTGCCTTTTTAAGATTCTTGTTTACTACATATTTCACATCAGTAAAGTAAACCTGGCAGTGCTGGGTTAATGGTTGTACTCGATGAGTTGAGAGTCCTTTTCTATGATTCTATGATCATTCCTATCCAACCTGAATTAACTTGGAAGGACGCTTTTCAGTTTCACAGTGTTGTCCATGAGGGAAAGCAAATTAATATTTCTAAAAGTTAAGTAGATAAATGAAGGTCATTTGATTACGTATGATTCCAAAAATGCAAAAAGATTGTGGCCCTCACATTAGCAGAGGAACCATATATAGTGAGTTATGCAAGGTCATAAACAGCACTTATACCAGTATTGACATGTACCCTTTTCTCCTTTCTCTTTTGCCATATCTTTATGTTACAGTTGCCATCTGACTTTCAGGAAAGAGTCAGCATCCATCTGGAAAAACACGGGTGCAGCCTTTCTGTCCCCTTGTGCCACACTTCTTACGCTGACACCATACCCACTTGCGTCATTGCCAAAGTACTGGAAAAACCAGACCCAAACAGCTTGTCTTCACACTTGTCGAGCCCATCTACAAGGGATCTCAATTTTCAGGACTCTGCCGGAAAAGTCGGACAAAGGCCGCAGTACAAGTCCGATATCTACTGCAGCGACACAGCCCTTTACTGCCCCGAGGAGAGGAGGAGGGAGAGGAGGCCAAGTGTGGACACGCAGGTGAAAGACGTGGGGTTCCTGCGGTCCCAGAACTCCACGGACAGCACTGTCGAGGAGGATGGTTTCCATTCCAGCTTCTCTCATGAAGCCTTCCCAGAGTACATTACCTCTCTGCCAACCTCCAGCTCCTATTCCAGCTTCAGCGTCACCTCCGAGGAGAAGGAGAACGCCCAAGCCAACACTCTGACAGCCTCTCAGCAGGCAATCTATATGAGCAACCGAGATGAACTGTTTGAAAGGAAGTCCCCTGCAGGTTATGAGCACCAGGGAAGCCCCAGGTTTGCCAAGCCCAAACCTGCGCAGCACATGGAGCTTGCCGACGACAATGAGAACTCACCCACTTTTACCAGAACTCTGCCATCGTATGCAAATGAGCCTTTTCATTTCTCAGCCATAACACCACAGCAGGCATTGGCAAATCAGAAAATGAGGAACGAGTGCAGGAGCACCCACCTTTCAGAAGAAGACTTGCCTGGGCGATGGAGGCAGTTGAGCGTGGAGGACATTGGTGCATACTCTTACAGGAATGCTGGCAGGCTGTCGCCCTGCAGTTTTTCAGAGCAGTACTACAGCAGCCCTATTAAGAAGGGGGACAGCCGAACAAGCCCCATCTATGCTAGTTACAAAGCAGATAGCTGCTCCGAGGGAGATGATATCTGCCAAAGCAGACTTGTGGATTCTTGCTTCCTGAGAACAGACAGTGGCCTGAATATTGACATCACCACTAGCTGTAAACAGGACAAATTGCCCACTTACAAAACGAAAGAATCAAGAGACCAAAAAAATGAAAGGATCACTGTCCAGTTATGCAGTAGCAAAAACATCGAAAACAGCCCAGTATTGAAAAGAGAATATGTGGACGTGAGCCCCAACAGCTCAGCAGAGTCACTCAATCAGAGTTCAGCGGAGGCTTCAGAAATCCACCAGTCTTCCATGGATCAAGGAAGCCATTCGGGTATTCACAGCAAACAGCAGCAGTTTCAACGGACTGGGAGTACTGGTTTGAGTCGGAAGGACAGCCTTACAAAAGCACAATTATACGGAACCCTTCTGAACTAGGCATCTCCCAAAACGGCAATAAGACAACAAACAAAAGGAAGCAAAGAGCATTTGATACTTCTAGTGAACAATAAGGTTCTAAGAAACAGGATTATTATAAAATATATATTCATAATGGTACTATATGTTTAAAACGAAATCTCTACAAAAACGTTATACAGCACTTTTCACTTAACATCCTTTCCACGTGGGAGATCGTCCCCTCCCCTCTTTTATAAACCTGAAATATTTTTATAATCAAAATGGTATTTATTAGACTATCTTAAGCTATTTGAGCAGAATTCTTTTCCCTTCAAGCAGGTTTCTTATTTATTTTTGTGCATGAGGCCATCTGTGCCTAAATTCTTGGAGGAAAAGGGTAAAATCATGATGGCGGTGATAAAAAAATAAATCCACCTGATAAAATACCATAAAATGTCATGTGAAATCAAAACAAACAAGAATGGTGAATTTGAAGAAGTATATTTTTTAACAAGAATGGAATTGTATCTTAAGTTATTTCATAAAAATGTATTTATGAGTGACTAATGTATGCACAAAGTGATACTAATATTTTGTTCTTTTAATCCACTGTGTTTCTGCTTTCCTATTTTTCCTTGTATACTACCTCAAAAGTAATTGAGGGTTTCTTTGTCACATTTTCTGTAGGCTTGCATTTATATTGTCTAAAATGCATGCAGTGTCATAATTAATACTGTATTTTGCATAACTTAATAAAAGACACCAGTGGATCTATTTTGGGTTTTTTTCCCTTCCTCAAAAAAGAGCCCGGACAATAGAACATGGAATTTCTTTGAGTGGCACCAGTCCAGCAGAAGTTAACGACTAAAGCTGCTGAATTAGATCACTTTCTAAAGAAGTTTCTCTGCAAGTTCCAGAAACCTGGTTCACAGTCCATGGCCTGTGGGTGTGGAAGGATGACTTTTCATGAGCCTGTTGAAAGCAATCAAGGAAAAACAACTATTTATCCACAGGCTTGAATTCACTAGACAGGGTTCTGCACACTGAAAGAAAACTGAAAACTACTTGAAAACCAGTGATGTGAACTCCTCCTCCAGTACTCACATACTTGACACAATCTTTTAGGTCTTTAGAACTGTTACATCCCACAGTTGCCCTTTCCTCCTATGTAGCTTGGTATTTCTAACCATGATTGTTCTAAAGCCTAAGGAAAGTCTGGCTTTCTGTAGCCTGTGGGAATTTTACCCCTGAGTCTAAGAAGCTGTGGTTTTACCTGTACTTTGTGCATTTCCTCCATCGATTTTTCTGTTTCTCACCATTTCATCAGTATGGAGAAGGAAAGAGCAAAAGGAGAAGAGGAGAAAAACAAAAAGGAGAGAAAGGGAAATGCTGTGGATTTTCTTCCTGCCTTCAGTATTGCTGTTTGGTAAGCAGAATATAGCAGTAAATATTTAGTAATTCTTTTAAGTCATGTTCAGGAAACACATATTGCATACTTAATATAATGACTCTTGACAGCTTATGTATGGGGAAAGTCCTTGCTTAGTGAAGTATGTGGTAGTAATCAGTGAGATCGCTGTGGAAATCTACAATAATTCCTTATAAAGCTAAAATAATGATTTGCCATTCAATAGCTATTAAGAAAGTATACATTTTCTGCTGATTCTCTGCAAGCAGTTACCTGGCAACTAACTATGAACCAGGACTACAGAACTGCTCATTTCCTACATAAGTATCTTCAATCATGGAGCCACAGATTCAATGCATCTGGCATGAGCAACTCCCATTGCTCTCCGTATTCTTCACGTATAATATAAAAATTTGACTATTATTGATGTGCGCAAGTACTTGCTGTGTTGCTTGGAAGATCACTCATCAAATCCCTTCATTTCCTCTGAGATCTGTAGCAGCACTGTGGAGAACAGTGGTGGCTAATAATATCACACAGGTAAGGCACAACATAACTCTAAAGTGATCCTCATTTCAGTACAAAAGCTGTAACACATCTTGTGCTTTTATATCTCCATACTTGCTCACAGTGAGTGTGAGTGGTAGGGCATGCCACAAATAACTCCATGAAGTCGATAAAAAACACATAGAATAAAGTTTCCAAAGGCGAACTGCTTCTTATGGCAGGATGTGACCTGCAGTAAATAGACTTGGAGATCCAGAAGAACTGGTATTTTCTCTTCAAAACACTAAGCCAGAAAACAGGTATGAAAAAACTTCACTGTTGACTTGTTCAGATAAATAAAATTTAGACAATCCCTAAGGCAAGACATTAATTTCTCTAGTCAATGAATACAAGGATTTGTATGCAAGAGGTGAAAATTAACTGTTATCTCACCTAAGAAAATATGTAAGCTATGGAACAGTAAATTGTGTTATTTATGAACTGGAACACTCAGTGACTTAGTGTCAGACTAATCCTTTTATAATATAGTTCATTAGTTGACCTAAAGTGCTATTTTGGTAATTACACAAAATTACATTTCTGCTAGATAATATTATATATCTGATTATTTAATATCCTGTTCTATTATTTTCTTTCATACTACTGCAGTTTCAAAGTCTGCTTCTGTGCTTCACTTGACTCTTCTTCTCAGTTTATGTGCAATAATATGTAGATTAAATACAGCCTTTTCAGCCAATTAGTAATGGGGGGTTTGTGTAAAATAGCCTATAACTTTGTAACATTTTTCTGTAAAGAATTTGATGACAGAACAATATCTAACCCTGAAATTAATTACAACTGAATCAAAATGGCTATAAATATTCTTCAGCTTTAATGTATTGTCCTTAATTAGAAAAACTGACAGTAAGTTTGCTAATTTTCTATGAACATGCGAAAAAAGTTCTAATAATTCACCTAAATTTTCTCAGATTTACAGATCTAACTCCGGTTTGGTTTAATTTTTCAAAACAAAAATAACTTTGAAAGATTATAATAAAGGAATTATTCCTCCAGTTTTGGGGTTAATTTTGTCACATTCAATTTAAATTTATTGAGACAACCACAGAGACAGACTTGAGGCTTTGACTGTACTCTTACATTCAATGACAAGTGACTCCAGAAATGCAAAACAACAGATCTTCAGCCAGTGTGCCACAGACTCCTCTACTCCAGTAGCTGAGAATTTGCCATGAAATATCTTTTCCCAAGGACATGAGTGTCCAATTTTATCTTCAGCATTATAAGAATGCCAAGGTGTCTCCATGTTGCCAAAAAATCTCATTTTTCCAAATGGCATCAAATTCTGCATGCAGGCTTTGTAGGTAACTATGGCAGGAATTTTGCTTTGATTAATTATTTCATTTGCCACTATAAGAAGAGGAAGGGTGAGTAAAAGCAGTGGCAAGTCTCCAACACTGCAGTGAAGCAGAAGATGAAAAATGTCATTTTAATGAATGAAAACAGAAAGCAGAATGTATATGATACAGAACACTGATCAGAGGAAAAACAAAGGGGGCACAAAGAGTTCAGAGGGAGGCATATCAACTCACATATTAAAACAGACAAGAATAAAAAATGCTACCAGGGATATGGAATACAATTCACCAGGAATAACAGTGTAAAGGTATTATGAAATCATGAAAAAAGGTATTATGAAATCATGCATTTTTTTAGATGTTTTCTCACTCCAAACTAAGCTTAAAAAAAGGTACAAAATCTCAATAAATACAAATAATGTGTGTTACTTTCTTTCAAACTTTTTAGAAGCCTAGAAATAGCTAAAATTTCTAGGTTTAAACCATGGCAAGCCATAATATAAGTAATCTTCAATTCAACAGTTTCTAACTTCTTCACCCAAACTAGAAAATTAATTGAATTAATTCTTTCCCCTTCCAGCACTTTTAATTAAAAAGAATTTTCACTCCATAATCTATCACAGAGCATGATTATACAGCTACTTAGATTAATTTCCCCTTGTTTAATTTTAAAGTACTAATTGACATCCTTTGGACATTTATATGAAACTTTTCTCCCCTACTCATGTTTACGACCTTGTAATCCTTACAGACTATTATTATATATCTCCTTGAATATTGTTTTAATTGTGCAGATGTAGTCCTCTCAGTTTTTTCTTGGAAGACACTCCCTTCAGGACACTGTTTTCAATTGCTCTCCAAGGAGCACCCTCCTCACCTTTCTCCTGCTGAACACTATAATATTTTTTGTTATCAACACTGAGTTTTTCAAAACAATGTCCAAAAATGGAGTGCAAGGAAAGGAGGGGACTATGTAGATTAGACCAACTGCATGTGTGAGGCTCCCAGCACCAAAATTTTCAAGTCATAGGAACTGCACCTGAAGTGTTGCATGCAGGTCTTTGTTCTAACAACAGTCCTTGGTGTAAGCAGTAGCTCCTAATGACCATCAGCCAGCCATGCTGATCTGCATGCATTAAATCATGGCATGTTGTCTACATCATCTTATATCAACATTATCAGAAGTTTTTCATCATTTTCGCAATCTTTTCTCCATGTCTGTTTGAAAAACTTCATTGTTATAAAACAATTCTAGTTATTTTGTAACAGCTTGTCCTTCAGTCCAGCTCCTCTCACATTACTTTCTCTTTGGTATTTTCTTTTCATTGTATTAGCAAAGATATTTTAGTAATTGAGAGTTTTTGTTTCACTGCAGTTAAAAAGAATAGTTTGAATGTTCATAAGAATAGTTTGAATATTCGTTCAGTGAAAGGTTTTGCTGCTAGTGCAGTGGATGCACTTCCACTGCTGTTCAGTCTTGCCCTTTTCACTCTCTGCTTTTACACTTCTGTTCTTCAGAAAGATACCCCTCTTTTATACTCTCCTCACTTGAAAAAACTTCAATTGCAATTCTCCACTCTCAGAGCAGGATCTTTTATAACACTTGGATCCACTGGCTATATCTGTAAAGATGCTATTATCACTTCTTAGTCTATCTAAATTCCTCCATATATGCTTTCTAAATTAATTAACACAGACTTGAGGAGAAACTTGATCTCAGGACTATGCATTTAAGTGCTCTACATGAACAAATTTCTATAGGATGGGACTAGGAAATATGTACCATTACCTGTAGATCTACTATGTGCCATGATAATTAGCCTAAGTAAAAGCTATACTCTAATCCTTTACAACATTACTTAAGTGTATATATATTCTGTTTCTAGTGAGCATCTACTGACCATTTCCATGCCAAGCTACTCGGATGTTGAGCTTTAACTACAAAGGCCCATGTCGTGGTTCAACCAGAGCTGACAACTAAGCACCATGCAGCTTCTTGCTCACCCTCCCCACAGCGGGATGGGAAGGGGAATTGTGAGGGAAAAACATGGTAAAACCTGTGGGTTGAGATAAGAACGGTTTAAGAATTGAAATAAAATAAAATATAATAACAATATTTAAAAATAATAATAATTGTAATGAAAAGGAAGACAACAAAAAGAGTGAAATAAGACCCCAGAGAGACAAGTGATGCACAACACAACTGCTCACCACCTGCTGACTGATGCTCAGTCCATCCCACAGTAGTGACAATCCCCTCTCAGACAACTCCCACCCCAGTTAATGTACTGAGGATGACTCCTATGGCATAAAAAAACCCTTTGGCCAGTTCTGGTCACCTGTCCTGGTCATGCTTCTCCCATTCTCATGCAGCTCCTCATAGACACAGCATGGGGAACTGAAAAGTCCTGGATTTAGAGCAATCATTACCTAGATGCAACCAAAATATCAGTGTGTTATCAGCATCATTCTCATACTAAATCCAAAACACAGCACTACCAGGA